AAGTACTTTAGTACTTTCCGACATTACATTAACATTTAAGAAAACCCTTTGGTACATCTATCCTGCAGTGACTCTCGTTCCAAATTTCAGAATTCTAGCTATAATGTTGACATTTGGAATAAGAACTATGTTATGTTTAGGAGGTGATTTTGGAAATTTATACTAAGTGTAAGAACTGGACTATATGGAACTAAATGTGGCACACTTTGGTTTTGGGTGTTAGTGTGTTGTGTCAAGATTTGCAGGTGGTTTTGGAAATATGTTCTAAATTAGTACGGAAAGTACTAAATGGTACTGACTTTAGAAGATGAAGAAGGAATAGCGTTAGAAATCTGAAATTTGGTATTAGTGCGGTGGGGTTAATTTATGGAAGTGGATTTGGTAATACGTACCGAAAAGGTACCAAAAGTACTAAATGATATTAAATTCTGTATTTGGCAATAGACAGGGCTGAAAATCTGAAATTTGAATTGGTGGTCTTTTGGGATAGACGCACCGAAAGGGCTTTTGAAAATTCGAACTATAAGTATACTAAAAGTACTTAATGGTACTATATTTTGTACCATTTGAAATTATTTAAATGGATAGAGGTAAAATTGTGAAATTTGATACAGAAAATGGGTCATATCGGTCCACTTTTTAGAATTGCCTCCTTGAGAGCATAACTCCGATTTCAAGCATTTTTTATGTTTTGGCAATGTTATGGTTTATTATCTTTTTTGGCAACATAGCTCATGCATTTTCCATGTTTTGTTTCACTGTCAAACATCTTCTGTTTCGTCTATAAATTAAACGAATATCGACAATGTAAAGATAACTCCGGAACTGAATTTAGTTCAAGTTTTCCTCTTGGCGGTCCTATACCCTGGTAGAATGGATTGAATATTGGCATCAACTTACGTTCACTACCCACATGGCGGAATCATCCAATTGAATCTATTTATTCCTTGATACCTTTATCATTTCTTTGCATACCGATCTTCGGTTACTTCCTTCCCTAGAATTACTCATTCATTAAATGAATGGAATGAAATAGACGTTTCACATTTGCTTGTTGCGATTCGATACGATACGATCGCTACGATTGAAGGTAATTAATTTATGCATATACGAGTAACGTAGGTATACATACATATATATGTATATATATACATGTATGGACATTGTTCTACCACTCATGTCTGATGCCATTGCGATCTCAATGCTTGACTGATTATACAAATTTATGTAGAAATTGAAAGGAGGCGTTGTTGTTTCTTCTAATTCTTTTTTCTTCATTCCATTTTGTAAGAAATACACTCGAAAGCATTTATTTGAATTGGTTCTATACAAAAATTACTTTGAAATTCTCGTTTTCACAAGAAACAAAAAAAAAAAAAACTGGAAAAAATCTGCCAAATTCAGAGTAACGTTGTGGGCGTCTTTGAAGCCAGTCTGTGCCTCAGTCATGTTTTTTTTATTCTAAAGAATTGTGAATTTATATCTCTGAGACAGTTTCAAGGTTATTGATTGTTTGAAATATCAATCAGTTGAATGAATCGTAGAAATCGAATCATCAGACAACACCTTCGCAAATAAAAGAATTTGAATATCTTTTTGTGTGCAAGAAGAGTTGACATATATGGGATTTTGACGTCAGATGAAGCAATTTTAAGATTGATAAATAACTGTTCAATAAGAAAAGATTAACGGCCGATTAGGGATGGGATTGTTTTAGGGGAAATTTTAAAAAAAGATAAGTAATGCTTTAAATGAGGATATTAAAATATAAATGAATTAAAAGGCTTCACGGTGAAAAAATATATAAAATATACTCCCCCACTTTCTCATAGGCAAAATTCATCGACGAAAAATTTTCCTATAGTAAAAATGATGAAAGTAAGATAACCGCCAATGTGAATCTATATTAATAAAAACATGTAAAAAACATTAAGTTCGGCCGGGCCAAACTTTTAATACCCTCCACCTTAGGGTAAAGGAAACATTAGAAGAAATGTGGCAAAAACCATTAAAATGCCGAATATCGGGACCTACACATGCAAAGTTTCGCCAACGGAGCTAGAACCCATTATGATCTACAAATACCAATTTTTAGACAAATACGTGAAAAAATGTGGCAAAAATCATCAAATTAACGAATATCGGGAGGTACCGTTATATGGGGGCTATACCAAAACGTGGACCTATAATTACAATGACTCGCCACACGAACTGGGACCCATTATGATCTACAACAAAAATTTTCAGAGAAATTCGTGAAAGAATGTGTCAAAAATCCTCAAAATACCGAATATTGGGAGGTACCGTCATATGGGGACTATACCAAATCGTGGACCTATACATACAATGTTTCGCCACACAAACTAGGACCCATTATGATCAACAAATTCAAATTTTTAGACAAATCAGTGAAAAAATGTGGCAAAAACCATCAAAATACCGAATATCGGGAGGTACCGTTATATGGGGGCTATACCAAATTGTGGACCCATACATGCAATGTTTCGCTACCGGAGCTGGAACCCATTATGACCAACAAATACCAAATTTTAGACAAATCCGTGAAAAAATGTGGCAAAAATAATCAAAATACCGAATATCGGGTGGTACCTTTATATGGGGGCTATACCAAAACGTGGATATATCTCATTTTCAATATTAACCATCCTAGACACAATACAAATTGCTTTGCTAAATTTAGGCGCTCTACGTCAAATAATGTGGGCTGTATCGTGATTTCAACAGACAGACGGACATCATTAAATCGACTTTATGCTGATTATGAATATATATACTTTATGGGGTCTAAGACGAATATTTAAAGATGTTACAAACGGAGTGACAAAGTTAATATACCCTTCTTTCCAAAGTGGAGAGTAAAGTAATTGACTGACTGACTGACTTAATGATTTATCAACTCCCAGGCGAAACGGCTGAAGCTAGAATCTCGAAATTTTGGGTGAGGGTCACTCTTAGATAAGGCTGGGTTTTTGGAAATTCGTACTAGAACGGTACGAAAAGTACTAAAAGGTACTAAATATGCATTTGTATTTGACGAACCAGTAGAGCTAGAACTCTTTCATTTGGAATAAGGGTCGCTAATTGAGTGAGTGATGGATGTTCCAAAGGGATTTTGGAAATTCGCACTATAAGTGTACAAAGGTACAAAGGTGATTTCGTATTATTTGAACAGTTAGAGCTAAAAACTTGAAATTTGGTATGGGAATGAAGGTTGAGTACTGTCGATGTAAGGGGATAGCTTTGGAAGTGTGTACTCATTAATACGAAAAGTACTAAACGGTACTAAATTTCGTACAATTTGAATTTGGAGGAACGGAACAGAACATTACTGGCAGAGTCTATGATTGGGGTATGGGCATAATTTTTAAAATTTGTACTTATGTACAAAATGGTACTAAATTTGGGGAAAAGATAGAACTGGAATCCTTAAATTTGGAAGTAAGATTACTTTGCATTGTAGAAATGGGGTATGTAGGTAGTTTTGAAAATTTGTACTTATGTGTACGAAATGGTACCAAACTTGGCACAATTAAAATTTTCGGAGAACCGATAGAGTCGGAAATCTTAAACTTGAAAATAAGATTTATCTTGCATTCTAGGACTGAAAAATGTAGTTAGTTTTGAAAATTTGTAATAATCTGTACTAAATTTGGTACAATTTCAATTTTGGGAGAACCAATAGAGTTGGAATCCTGAAATTTGGAACTAAGTTTACTATTGCTTTGCAGGTCTGAGGTATGTAGGTGGTTTTGGGAATTCGTACTTATGTGTACGAAATGGTACTAAATTTGGTACAATTTAAATTTTGGGTAAACCCATGGTACAATAAGGAGGTAGAACAGCTTTGTAAAAGTACAAATATACAGCCCTGATGCTATGCCCGCTTCCTGTCAGACTCATTCAAAATTATATACAACAAGTTGTTTTTGTTTTTTTTTTCATATTTTTCCTCAATTTTCAAATGAGTTAAATAGCGCGAAAATGAATGAAAGGCCTGAATATTCTCTCAAAAATATGATCCAAACTGTTCAGTCTTTCAATTTTATGGCTAAATTGGTTAATAGCTTTAATGCGTGAGCCGTAACGTACGTTTCTTCCAATGATTGGTTTTGAAAGTATTTTATTTTCATTTTTCAAAACAATAAATACATACACAAAATTGGCATAAGTCGGGCACACTTAGAAAAAAATTGTATTCAGCTGGTAGCTTACCTTATTTTTGTACCATGGGTAAACCGGTAAAGTTGGAAGCCTAAAATTTCAAAATAAGTACTACAAGAGTACAAAATGTAAAAAGGGTACAAAGTATAGTATTGATCATAAGGATAGTTAGATTTCTGAGTTTTGGTGTTTGGGAATTGGTGTGTTGTATTGAGATATGCAGGTGGTATTGGAAATATGATTGATATTAGATGTATGAAAGGTATTAAATGGCACTAAAATTTTAATTGTGGTCGATGTTCGTGTGTAGGTTTGAGATTGAGTGGTTTTAGAATTACGTACTAAAAAGTACTAAATTTGGTATTTGGCTATGGAATTAAGTTGGAAGTCTAAAATTTGGAATTTTGTGCGAATTGGTTGATAAATGGCTGGGAACTTGGAAATACCTACTAAAAAGTACGGAAATTACTAAATAGTATCAACTTCGGTACCTGCAGAAGAAATAGAGCAAGAAATATGTGTACCAGAAGTACTAAAGTGCACTAAATGTGGTACCATTTGGATACCACAACGGATAGAGAAAGAACCTTGAAATTTGATATGAGAATCAAGTCTGAAAAATGGTGTTGATAGGAGGAGGTGATTTTGATATATGTGGGATATCTCAAATTTGGCTTAGTGTTGATTTAGGGTTGGGAGCTGGAAATTATTCATCCAATTTATAACTTGATATTAATAAATTGTGGTCATTTATATAATGCATTTTATTTGGGGTAAAACATTAGCTTTTGCTTTATTGTCAAAAAATTTGTTTCAGAAGGTAATCAATTCTAATTTTAAAAATAAAGCATTCAGAGAAAATGCTGATGGATATTTCGAAATTTTGTTGACAATATATCCTAAAAAGCTACAAATTCAACAAAAATCAAGATTTTGGTAAGAAAAATTCATTCTAAAATCATAAATATGCGTTTTTTTAATAACGTTGCAAGACTTGGGACACCAACAGAATTTTGATCTATTCCTAATCAAAAAATCCATCTTTCATCGCCTCCGGTCGCATCTGCATGTTAGCACCCTTGTAAACATTAAACAATAATCGTAACTAAGATTTTATCCTCAAAAATTTTGTGAAGAATTATTAATTTTTAAACTTCATTGTAATTCCAGTCATTCCACATGTGCAACACCCTCCAAAATGCCCAAACTGCATTCTTTATGCGTTGCATTCGACTTTGAAATATTCTCTTCTGCTGAGCAATCTAACTTAACACAAGAAAATCTGGTAATTTATTCAATATTTATTCGCTGCATTAAAAAACAAAGGACGTGATGCTATCATGAAACTAGGGAGGCAATTGAGCACAAAGTAGCAAAGGCTTAATGCCTTCCAAATGATCGATAAAGATAGATAGGAAAAGTACAGTGACTGGCAAATGTAAGAAGACATTGAGGTCTTCTATAGTATCTAGAAGACAAAACTTCTAGAAGATCTTGAGGTCATTTATAGTCCTAACGTCATTTAGAAGAACTGGAAATCTTCAACATTCGTTAAAATACTTTGGAGATTTTCAGGTCTCCTATAGTTAATAGTTAATAATAATATAGGCCTTGAAGTCTTCTTTTGGCCATAGAAGGCCTTGAGGTCTTCTATTGGTCATAGAAGGCCTTGAGGCCTTCTATTGGTCATGGAAGGTCTTGAGGTCTTCTATTGGCCATAGAAGGCCTTGAGGTCTTCTATACGCCATAGAAGGCCTTGAGGTCTTCTATACGCCATAGAAGGCCTTGAGGTCTTCTATACGCCATAGAAGGCCTTGAGGTCTTCTATACGCCATAGAAGGCCTTGAGGTCTTCTATACGCCATAGAAGGCCTTGAGGTCTTCTATACGCCATAGAAGGCCTTGAGGTCTTCTATACGCCATAGAAGGCCTTGAGGTCTTCTATACGCCATAGAAGGCCTTGAGGTCTTCTATACGCCATAGAAGGCCTTGAGGCCTTTTATACGCCATAGAAGGCCTTGAGGTCTTCTATACGCCATAGAAGGCCTTGAGGTCTTCTATACGCCATAGAAGGCCTTGAGGCCTTTTATACGTCATAGAAGGCCTTGAGGTCTTCTATACGCCATAGAAGGCCTTGAGGTCTTCTATACGCCATAGAAGGCCTTGAGGTCTTCTATACGCCATAGAAGGCCTTGAGGTCTTCTATACGCCATAGAAGGCCTTGAGGTCTTCTATACGCCATAGAAGGCCTTGAGGTCTTCTATACGCCATAGAAGGCCTTGATGTCTTCTATACGCCATAGAAGACCTTGAGGTCTTCTATAGTCCATAGACGGTCTTGAGGTCTTCTATACGCCATAGAAGGCCTTGAGGTATTCTATAGTTCATAGAAGGGCTTGAGGTCTTCTATAGGAGGAGCCATAGAAGGCCTTGAAGTCTTCTATAGTCCATAGAAGGCCTTCTATAACCTTAAGGTCTTCTACAGTCCATAGAAGGCCTTGAGGTCTTCTATAGCCCATAGAAGGCCTTGAGGTCTTCTATAGTCCATAGAAGGCCTTGAGGTCTTCTATAGTCCATAGAAGACCTTGAGGTCTTCTATAGTCCATAGAAGACCTTGAGGTCTTCTATAGAAGGCCTTGAGATTTTCCATAGAAGGCCTTGAGGTTTTCCATAGAAGGCCTTGAGGTTTTCCATGGAAGGCCTTGAGGTTTTCCATAGAAGGCCCTGAGGTCTTCCATAGAAGGCCTTGAGGTCTTCCATAGAAGGGCTTGAGGTCTGTTTGGAAGATCTTAATGTCTCTCTTAAATATTGTAGAATATCCAGATTTTAAATACCCTCTATTTCCCATAGAAGACCCAGAGGCAACATGAATCTTTTATGTTTTCTCTTGGACGTGAAAAACGTTGAGGTCTTCTATAGTCTTAGAAGTGCTTTAAATTTATTATAATGTTACTTTTTTTACTGCGTCACATTCTTTGAAACTAAAATGATTATTTAGGAATTCCAATGACTTTATTAAAAAACCAAAAAATCTTATTCTTTCGTTTCAGTATGAAGTTTTCTAAAAATAGTCCCATGAATAATTTGTTTTATTTTTTTTGTCGTGGATGGATGGATGGACGATGATCTATGAAAATTATGGATTTTCTACATGTTTTCATATATTTTGACAGGTGATATCAGTTAGCCTTCAACCGATTCTTGAAAATAATAAAGGAGGACACAAAATGAAGACAACAAAACATTGTTGCATGTTCTACAAGTGAATCACGTACTACACCAGATCCATGAACCAGGAGGACAGGTAAGTCGTCACGACAGACAGCCAAATGGACGGACGGACGGATATTTGTTGGGACAGACAATTTGTCTTATTTTTATCACAAAAGACAATAAAACTAAAGAGAAACTCTGCGACCGGAGATGCCTTCACGACCATGCCACTGTGTGCGAGTGGACGCGTGTGCGTGCGTGCTTTGTTTTTCCTAAGGATTGTTCCTATTCCTGTCGAGACTGTTAATTTTTCTGAGCAGCATAAAGAAAAATTATGACCACGTTTGAAAGGGTTCTGTTTCATCTTGTCGTCCGGCTTTCCACAGTTACTTTGTTAGGTTGAAGCGTGTTTTTCAACAGGCCTTTGTTAATTCTTAAAGTACACAGCCAGCGAAGGCATTGGGGCAGCTGCTTGCCGGCCTACCATTGTCATTCTATTCCCAGAGCAATATTCATGTAGCCAGTAATGTCATGGTTGGTTGGTGATGACTACATCCCCATGGCAAGAAGGGGGAAATGTGTGTGTGTGGATTGGTCTAAGTGTAGTTTAGGGATTTAGTAAGCCATCGCCTTAAATTGTGCCTGTTATGGCTTTTAACAACTCGCTGCTCTGGCTGACTTAACAAATTGCCTTGCAACGTGTTGTTGTCCAACTGCAAGAGGGTTTTTTTTTTCTTGAGTTTCTTGGTATTATTTTTTCTTGATTTGAAATTTATTTTTAGAATTACTAATATGCACAACAAATTTACGACATGTTTGCGTGGCATTTATGTATGATCTTTTGTACAGTGGAGGGTAAATGTGGTCACACAGTATATTTATAATATGAATAAATATAAAGATACGATGAAATACTTTCACAAACTGACACCCTCTTTGATAATGAAATGTTTTCTAAAAAGGAAAAAGTGGACCTTTATTATGAGATCGTCTTTCTCTTACAGACATTTTGATATTTTAAAACAACTGAAAATGAAATCTCCGAGTCGAGGATCAAAAGTTTATAGAAAACCAGAAGGTCTTGTTGGGGGAAAATGTCTTTTTGTGGGAAGATCAGAAGGTCTTCTTATGGAAAATAGGAAGGGGTTCCTTTAGAAAAAATAGGTTTTTTTAAAAAAAAAGACTACAGACAAGAAGGTCACTCAATAGAACACCAATTTTGATATTTTAAAAGAACTGAAAATAAAGTCTCCGACTCGGAGATCGAAAGAGAGATTGTAAATGTCCAGTAGGTTTTCTTAAAAACCAGAAAGTAGTCTTATAGAAAACCAGAAGGTCTTGTTGGGGGGAAATGTCTTTTTGCGGGAAAAGTCCTTTTTGTGGGAAGATCAGAAGGTTTTCTTATGGAAAACAGGAAGGTCTTCTTATAGAATACAAATAGGCCTTCTTAAAAAAGACTACAGACAAGAAGGTCATTCAATAGAACACCATCCTGTGGAAGACATTGAAGCCTTCCAGCAATATATACTTCGATGAGAATACCTCCAGTTCTTCTATAAAAATGAATGGAGGAATTATAAGACGTCTGTCCGGATTTATATAAGAAGACATTCTGGTCAGCTATAAGAACACTTTCTGGTCTACTATAAGAAAATGTTCTGGTCCTTAACAAAAAGGCTTTCTGGTCTTCTATTAGAAGACTTTTTGGTGTTCCGTAGCAAGATCTTCTGGTCTTCCATAAGAAGACCTTCTTCTATCAGAATAATCCCTTCTTGTCTTTTATCAGAACAGAACTTCTGGTAATCTATTAGAAAAAGACCTTCAGATCTACTACGTGAAGATCTTCTGGTCTTCTATAGGAAGAATGCCTTTTGATCTTTTATAAAAAGAATACCTTTTTTAAGAAGAAGACCATCTGGTCTTCTATAAAAAGAAGTCCTTCTGGTCTTTTATGGGAAGAAGATCTTCTGGTCTTCTATCACAAGAAGACCTTCTGGTCTTTTGTAAGAAGAAGACCCTCTGGTCTTCTATAAGAAGAAGACCTTCTGGTCTTTTATAAGAAGAAGACCTTCTGGTCCTCCACAGGAAGAAGACCTTTTGGTCCTCTACAGGAAGAAGACCTTCTGGTCTTCTAATGAAAGAAGACCTTCTGGTTTTCTACAGAAAGAAGACCTTCTGGTCTTCTATAGGAAGAAGACTTTCTGGTCTTCTATATTAAGAAGACTTTCTGGTCTTCTACAGGACGAAGACTTTCTGGTCTTCTATAGAAAGAAGACCTTCTGGTCTTCTATCAGAAGAAGAATTTCTTGTCTTCTATAAGAAGAAGACCTTCTGGTCTTTTGTAAGAATAAAACCTTTTGATCTTTTATAAGAAGAAGACTTTCTGGTCCTCCACAGGAAGAAGACCTTCTGGTCCTCTATAGGAAGAAGACCTTCTGGTCCTCTATAGGAAGAAGACCTTCTGGTCCTATACAGGAAGAAGACCTTCTGGTCCTCTACAGAAAGAAGACCTTCTGGTCTTCTACAGAAAGAAGACCTTCTGGGTTTCTACAGAAAGAAGACCTTCTGGTCTTCTATAGGAAGAAGACTTTCTGGTCTTCTATAGGAAGAAGACTTTCTGGTCTTCTACAGGAAGAAGACTTTCTGGTCTTCTATAGGAAGAAGAACTTCTGGTCTTCTATCAGAAGAAGAATTTCTTGTCTTCTATAAGAAGAAGACCTTCTGGTCTTTTGTAAGAATAAGACCTTTTGATCTTTTATAAGAAGAAGACTTTCTGGTCCTCCACAGGAAGAAGACCTTCTGGTCCTCTATAGGAAGAAGACCTTCTGGTCCTCTATAGGAAGAAGACCTTCTGGTCCTCTACAGGAAGAAGACCTTCTGGTCTTCTACAGAAAGAAGACCTTCTGGTCCTCTACAGAAAGAAGACCTTCTGGTCTTCTACAGAAAGAAGACCTTCTGGGTTTCTACAGAAAGAAGACCTTCTGGTCTTCTATAGGAAGAAGACTTTCTGGTCTTCTATAGGAAGAAGACTTTCTGGTCTTCTACAGGAAGAAGACTTTCTGGTCTTCTATAGGAAGAAGAACTTCTGGTCTTCTATCAGAAGAAGACCTTCTGGTCTTCTATAGGAAGAAGACCTTCTGGAATTCTATAGAAAGAAATCCTTCTGGTCTTCTATAGGAAGAAGACCTTCTGGTCTTTTATAGGAAGAAGACCTTCTGGAATTCTATAGGAAGAACACCTTCTTAACTTCTATAGGAAAAAAAACCTCTGGTCTACTGTAGGAAGAAGACCTTCTGGTCGTTTATAGGATGAAGACCTTCTGGTCTTCAATAGGAAGAAGACCTTCTGGTCTTCTATAGGAAGAAGACCTTCTGGTCTTCTATAGGAAGGCGAACATGAAGTTTCTAATTCCCCTAAATTCGGTATTTTACCAATTTTAGTTACAATATTCACCGAAATTGTTTCAAATTTTGTATTTAAAGTTCCTAATGGGTACTACAGCCTGTGACAGAAGATTATTTATGTAGGTCCAGGTCTTCATGTGCAAGCCATATATCGGTGCCTCACTATACTCCGTATTTTGTATTTTAATTTTTTCAAGTTTCGAATTTGAATATTGTAATGGTCTATGACAGAAATTGCCCATACAGGTCCGCGACTTCGTATAGACCCTAATATAAAGACAGCTCCCTATATTCGGTACTTTTAAGAATTCAACGAATTTTTATCGGATTTTATTTTTTTTTGAAAATTTCCAAATTCGTTCCAAATGTTGGAGCGTATTCCTACGTGGCCGAACATACTGCTTTGCTTGCTTGTTTCTCTGTGAGATGTTATATACATTTTTTATCATTTATGCGAAATATAAACATTTATTTCACCGTAAAAAACATATTCAAAATAACTCATGGGCTCAGGCAAATCACTAAATAAGAGATATGTTCTTTATTTATTCTAATTGCTTTATTCAATTTTCGTCAATTGAACACAAATCTGTACTGGCAACTGGTCTAGCCAGTTTTAAAACCAAGCGAGAAAAACCACGACAAATTATTGTCGATGGTCATAATGCAAAACAGTGTTTCGTTTTTTATTAATTAATTAAAAAATGTGTGGGTGAATGGATTTCAAAATATTGATATGACAGTATGAATCATATTAAGGGTCATTCGGTGGTTAATCTGTTGAACGCGATATAGTGTGGCTATGATGAGATTCCGATTGACAAAGTAATATTTTGTTTTTACACTAGTAGAAGAAGGCAAAGGTATGTATAGACTGAAAGAGAGCACCCGATGACCTTTTCATGTAAAATATACAATGGGCTGTGGCCTTTCAAATTTATATTTTCTATTAGCAAACAGTACATATTTTCCAAAATTAAAAGAAATCTATTCCTTAGTTTTAATATTTAATTATTTCAGTCTTTGGAACATGATATGTATACTATAGAATAAAATCAATATTTTAATAAGTAAAAAAGCTGTAAGTGCGAATTTGCAAATTCTCAAAAGCAATAAAATCCGTTAGAACTTCTGTTAGAATCTTAAAAATACCGAATGTAACTATTATATTAGGATCTATCTATCTGTTTATAATGTAGCTAAAATCATCAAAATACGGAATATAGGGAGGTACCATGGTGGTTATAAAACGTGGATCTGCACAGACAATTTTCTGTCATAGGCTGTAATATCCATTACGAACTTCAAATGCGAAATTTGAAACAATTCCGGTAAATAATGTCGCTGAAATCATGAAAATACCGAATATCGGGGGGTACCGTTACATGGGGGCTATACGTAGACGTGGACCTACATGACCCATTTTCTGTTTTATGTTGTAGTATCTATTACAAACTTCAAATACCAAATTTGAAACAATTCCGGTAAAAAATGTCGCTAAAATCATCAAAATACCGAATATCGGGAGGTACCGTTATATGGGGGCTATACTAAGACGTGGACCTACATGACCCATTTTCACCAAAAGTCCTGCAGACATAGTACACATTTGAATAAAATTTTATCAACCTATTTCATTTCGTTCGGAAGCTAGAGTGATTTCCATAGACGGACGGACATAGATA